GTGGGTGCCTATAATCCCAGCTACTTGAGAGGCCAACGCTGGAGAATTGCTTGAATTCAGGAGGCGGAGTTTGCAGCGAGCAGACATGGTGCCATTGCACTTGAGCCAGGGAACAACAGCGAAAACTCCATCTCAGAAAAAAAAAAAAAAAAAAAATCAACAAGAATCCCCACTACTAGAATTAACAGATTACAGCAGTTTATAGGTAGGGCTCTCCTGGAAGAACAAAGCCATCAGAATCACGGACTGATGAGGCTGTCCCTACTATAGTTTCCAAGCAAAAATGTATCCTCAAAAATCCTGTATCCTCTGGCTTTCCCTGAGCAGTTAAGGGTGGGGGAAGTCAGGTAAGCAGCTGTGAAGTTACATCATTTGTGCTCATGATAAAATCATATAGGTGAGTGATGATCTTTTAAAAAATGTTCTAGTCTGAAGCAAAAGGAGTTACAGCTCCTGATTATTTAAGGTTTCAAGTGCTTCTTTTTCCTTTAGCTGGAATGCAGTGGCACGATCTTCAAATCAATTCTCCAAGACAGAAACTTTTCTCTCTTCATGGTGGAAAATGGGGAAAAAGTAGAGCTGGGCGCTGCGGCTCTAGCCTATATCCCAGCACTTTGGGTGGCCAAGGGGAGCTGATCACAAGGTCAGAAGTTCGAGACCAGCCTGATCAACATGGTGAAACTCCATCCTCTATTAAAAATACAAAAAAAAAAAACGGCCGGGCGCGGTGGCTCAAGCCTGTAATCCCAGCACTTTGGGAAGCCGAGGCGGGTGGATCACGAGGTCAAGAGATCGAGACCATCCTGGTCAACATGGTGAAACCCCGTCTCTACTAAAAATACAAAAAACTAGCTGGGCATAGTGGCGCGTGCCTGTAATCCCAGCTACTCGGGAGGCTGAGGCAGAAGAATTGCCTGAACCCAGGAGGTGGAGGTTGCGGTGAGCCAAGATCGCACCATTGCACTCCATCCTGGGTAACAAGAGTGAAACTCCGTCTCAAAAAAAAATACAAAAAAATTAGTCGGGCATGTTGGCGCGTGTCTGTAATCCCAGCTACTTAGGGGGCTGAGACAGAAGAATCCCTTGACCCCAGGAGGTGGAGGTTGGAGCGAGCTGAGATCACGTCACTGCACTCCAGCCTAGGCGACAGAGTGAGACTCAAAAAAAAAAAAGGGGGGGGCAAAAAGTAGGTAAATTTCAAGCTATTGATAAACTATGGAAAGTTTATAATGGCCTCCTCCAAATCCAAACATGGTAATTGCTCCAATAGGAAAAGATGTTAAATGTTTCTTAGAACGTAGGGTTTGCTTTACCCCATGTATTTCACTTATCGGCAGTATGAAAGTCTGGCTCTGGCTTAATGGTGAAACGATCTAGACAGGGAACACTGGCAGGGAACAAACTCTCCTAAATAAACTCTTCTTCCCAATTTAAATGCCAGAAGATTTGGAGTGCCTAAAGTTATGAAAGGCTTATCAAAACCTGTCAATCTGTCCTTGGACTACGACATTTTTGTTTTATATCCATTTTCAACATCGCCAGAGAACACTGTCCTTTAGGATTTCAGAGTTTCACCAAAACTTAAGTGAAAGTCAGCTAAACATCTAAGAACAATAAATGATTTTAGGATGGTTGACACACACACTCCTTGAATTTCTACAGAGCTAACCTTCTAGCCTTTAACAATTTAGAAACTCATAAACCATCACTCGTTCCTGCCAACTTTCTAATTCCTCTGGTACCATTCAGACAGAGAAGTAATCTCTTCTAATCACAAATAAAATCCTTTTTCTTTTCTTTTTTTTTTGAGATGAACTCTCGCTCTTTTCACTCAGGCTGGAATGCAATGGGGTGATCTTGGCTCACTGCAACCTCAGCCTCTTCAAGTTATTCTTCTGCTCAGCCTCCCCAGTAGCTTATCTTTTATATTTTTAGTAGAGATGGGTTTCACCATGTTGGCCAGGCTGGTCTCAAACTCCTGACCTCAGGTGATCCTCGCCTGGCCAGTAAAGTCTTTTTTTTTTTAAGTCTTTGGGCCAGGCGCGATGACTCACGCATATAATCCCAGCACTTTGGGAGGCTGAGGCGGGTGGATCACGAGGTCAAGAGATTGAGACCATCCTGGTCAACATGGTGAAACCCCGTCCCTACTAAATAAAAATACAAAAATTAGCTGGGCGTGGTGGCGCACGCCTGTAGTCCCAGCTACTTGGGAGGCTGAGGCAGGAGAATTGCTTGAACCCAGGAGGCGGAGGCTGCAGTAAGCTGAGATCCCGCCATTGCACTCCAGCCTGGGAAACAAGAGCGAAACTCCGTCTCAAAAAAGAAAAAAAAAAAGTCTTTGTGGCCAGGCTGGAGTACAGTGGGGCAATCTCAGCTCACTGCAACCTCAGCCTCCTGAGTTCAAGCGATTCTACTGTCTTAGCCTCCTGAGTATCTGAGATTACAGGCGCCCACCATCACATCCAGCTAATTTTTACATTTTTAGTAGAGATGGGGTTTTGCCATGTTGGCCAGGCTGGTCTTGAACTCCTGTCCTCAGATGATCCTCCTGCCTCAGCTTCCCAAAGTACTGGGATTACAGTCATGAGCCACCATGCCTGGCCTAAAATCCTTTCTTAATAGGTTTTTCTTTTTTCTTTTTTGGCATCAGAATCAAACATCTTATCCTCCTCAAAAACATTTCATTAAAGAAATGTTGGGTGGATCACTTGAGGTTAGGAGTTTGAGACCAGGCTGGCTGACATGGTGAAACCCCATCTCTAATAAAAATACATTAAACACACACACACACACACACACACACACAGAGACACACAAAATAGCCAGGCCTAGTGGCACATGCCTGTATTCCCAGCTACTTGGGAGGCTGAGTCAGGACAATCATTTGAACCCAGGAGGTGGAGACTGCAGTAAGCTGGAGTACACCACTGTACACCAGCCTGGATGACAGAATAATACTCTGTCTCAAAAAAGAGAAAGAAAACACAAAAAGATTTATACAATCTGAATTATTAACTGTTAGCAGAAGGAACTGACAGAAAATATAAAGATCTACAAAAATATCAAACAGTACAGAGCAAATATCTGACTTCATAATTGAGAAGTTGAAGGACCATACACAGCCCTTCTTTCTAGGTTGTAGATTAGAGGGGAAGCAGGTTTCAAATTAAGGAGCTACTATATTAGCTGGGCATGGTGGCGAGTGCCTGTAATCCCAGCTACTCAGGAGGCTGAGGCAGGAGAATTGCCTGAACCCAGGAGGCGGAGGTTGCGGTGAGCCGAGATTGCACCATTGCACTCCAGCCTGGATAACAAGAGCAAAACTCCATCTCAAAATAAATAAATAAATAAAATAAAAAATAAAAACCCTTCGAGGTAGCTCACACCTGTAATCCCAGCACTTTGGGAGGCCAAGGCAGGTGATCACCTGAGGTCAAGAGTTGGAGACCAGCCTAACCAACATGGCTACTAAAAATACAAAAATTAGCCAGACGTAGTGGCAGACACCTGTAATCCCAGGTACTCGGGAGGCCGAGAATCGCTTGAACCCAAGAGGCAGAGGTTGCAGTGAGCCGAGTTCGTACCATTGCACTCCAGCCTGGGCGACAGAGCCATACTCCGTTTCAAAAATAAATAAAAATAAAAACTCTTGTCACTTTATCTTTGTTCACGATTATAATGCAGCAAGAGTTGTTCTGACCCCCTAACACTTTTACAGTAAAGGTAAAAATCCCCTCCCAAGAAACTAAAAATAGAGATACATAAATAAAACTGCAGCTTATTGAAGAAGATATTTGTGACTTGATAGTCCAGCATCTGAGCTGGAATGTGAAAGGTGGAACCGTATTCAGCCAATTCAAAACGGCAAAAACGCAATACCAGGCCTGAGGAAATACCAAAATCAAGCAAAACATCCAACATCTGGCAGCATCTATTCACGGTGTAGAGGCAGCAGTTACTGTGAAACACCAGACGTTTCTGATGGAAGCGCTGGAACAGTTTCTGACTCACCTCCCGTCCCCCACCGCAATACACACACATCATCTCTCCTACACACAATCTGTTTGTTGCTTTTCTTGTGGGCCTCCTCAGCCCTTCCTCAGTCTTCATTAGTTTTTAACTTAATACGTCGAGCTGTCTACATTAACCTGGCTCCATTCTCCAAATTCCAATCTCCTGATACAGCTTAAGCATTCCTCCAGTCCATTTTCTATTATGCAATCCTCCCCCACAACACTTACAATCACCCCCCCACCCATCTTTCTTCTTCTCAGGCCTAATTTCCAAAACATCACTTCTCGCAGTCTCGACTGCCGTTCAAGACCCCATTCCATCCTTCCCATCTGTTCCATTCCTTCCCAAAGTTAGGCAGTTTAGAGCTGGGAGTCACCAGAGGAGTTGGTTTGAGAAAGTCTGTGTGTCTGTGCGTCTGCCCGCGCCGGGGGGTTGGGGGGTGCGAAGTGAAAAGGGATGGAACATTAGGGGGAGTCTGAGGGAAAAGATGGCTTCACCAACTCCCAGCCCCTAACAAAATTCACGATTCCCTACCTCTTTAGCAATCGAAAAGTGTCCCATAACTCTTCAATACCTTTTAAGTCCCATGGCTTCTCGTCAACATTTTTATCCAAATAGACCTCAATCAACTGAAACTCTCCCTGCATCTCACACTAACTAGTTCCTCTCTACTTCTTAGACCTCCATGGACTTTTTCAGTTTCTCTACTCCCTTCCGTTTCTCGTTTTCTACCCCCACCTTCAACCTCCATCCCTCCTCCTCAAAGACAACCGACGTTTTCGACAGCTTCTTTTCTCAAACTCACCCTTTCCTCAAACTCCTTCTGCCCGCTCAGAAATCTCTATCTGAAAGCCCAGCTCGCCCCCCCGCCCCGCCTCGCTTACCCCTAGGACATTCCCAGCTACAAGTACCCTCATAGGTCTCGCTCTTCCTCCCATCCCACATTCTTCACCAGCTCCCTACCCACGCCCTGCCCGGCTTACCTGAGGACGAGGTACAGGAAGGGACGCCGGGATCAAAGGATGAAAAACCGACCGCCGACGACATCCCGGAGGAGGCCGACGCCATCTTGGCAGCCCCCTCCCCCTCAGCGGCTTGGCTCTTTCAATCCGGCTCTTCCTCTTCTTGGAACTGAATCTTCCCCACGTCTCTTTACAGAACCCGCGTTCTGCGGGCCACCTCCCGCCCCCTCTGGGGCCTCCCTCAGACACCTCCAGCCGGCTCCTGTACCAGTTCAAGGCCGCACCATTCCCCTAGCATGGGAGAGAACTCCCGTCTAGAACCCTCTCCACAAGTTTAACGGCTTCCCACAGGGGATACTTTCCCCTTTCACAAAAGAGTAAGCTCAAGCTGGCTGCTGGGACTCCGCGTCCAGACCAAGCCACATCAGAAAAAAAAAAACGAGGCACGAAAAGTCCCAGAGGAGCGAACGCCCCCTCTCCATCTACCCCAGCCACGGCCTGTTTAACGCCCAACCCGGCTGCTTCACTCCGGGTGGCCGGGGGGAAAAAAAAAAAAAAAAAAAAAAAAAAAAAAAAAAAAAAAAAAATCCGACCACTGCGCATGCGCCCGACCTTCTCGGGTTATTAGGCCCATCAAAGAGGCGAGAAAAGAAGCAAAACCAATCGGGAGGCTGCTAATGGTCACGTGAGGCGGCCTGACACCTCCTACGGTGGAAGACGTATGCGCGCGGGTTGGCCAACCGTCCGTACGGTAGCTCAGCAGGTCCATTTAGGTTCAGTTCTTTGCGAGATTTGGGTTGAGTGATCTGAACTCGGGATAAGAGTCACTCCGGCAGGTCCTCTGAAATTCCTAACCCAGAAGATAACTCTCGGCTGGAGTACTGGTGTCAAGTCAGCGACGTTAAGGTGTCGAATATTACAAAACATTACATGCCAGCAAGAACTCTTCCTAGTCTTTTTCAGGGTTTTACTACCCTGTTTACTATTTAATTAAACTTGTGTGCATGTCTTACCTTCCTCCGAATAACATTCGAAATAGATGTGTGTTTTGTTTGCCTCAGGCACAAAGGTAGGCACAGTGATGGAGTGCAGTAAATATTCGATGCATGAATCAGTGAAGCTCTGTCAAAAAAGGGCGCGGGAGGCAATCAGGAACTCACCACAACCTTCCCGCAACCCAAGCCTTTTAGCCTCCACCTGTCAATTATCTATGATCTAAAGGGCATGGAGAGACACAGAAAAATTTCTCCCGTTGTAGTCTTCGTACTAACCCTACTCGTTTTTAACAAAGTACTCCATAGGCTCTGAACCATGGTGGGAATCTGAAGTCTTGTCTTTCTGAGCTGGCTGTCAAAATGCTGGAGAGCAAGGACTGTGTTTGGTTCACTCTTGTATCTCCAGCTCCTCCCGTGACTTTGTACATAGTAGGGGCTCAATAATTATCTGTGGAATGAATACGTGAATAGGAAAGGGAAAACACTCGGGTAAGAGTCTGTCAGGGCCGGGTGCGGTGGCTCACGTCTATAATCCCAGCACTTTGGGTGGCTGAGGCTGGCGGATCACGAGGTCAGGAGTTCGAGACTAGCCTGACCAACATGGTGAAATCCCATCTCTACTAAAAATACAAAAATTAGCCGGGCGTGGTGGCACGCGCCTGTAACCCCAGCTACTCGGGAGGCTCGGGAAGGACAATCGCTTGAACCGGGGAGGCGGAGACGGGCGGATCACCTGAGCTCAGGAGTTTGAAATCAGCCTGGCCAACATGGTGAAACCCCATCTGTACTAAAAATACAAAATATTAGCTGGGCCTGGTGGCGGGCGCCTGTAATCCCAGCTGCTTGAGAGGCTGAGGCAGGAGAATCGCTTGAACCCGGGAGGCAGAGGTTGCAGTGAGCTGAGATCGCGCCATTCCACTCCAGCCTGGACAACAAGAACGAAACTCTGTCTCAAAAAAGAAAAAAGTATATCTCCCCATATATTTACCTCAGCCTTCTACTTTTTCCTTATCAAGATCTAAAATAAGGCCGGGCGCGGTGGCTCACGCCTGTAATCCCAGTACTTTGGGAGGCGAGGCAGGTGGATCACAAGGTCAAGAGATCGAGACCATCCTAGCCAACATGGTGAAACCCTGTCTCTACCAAAAATACAAAAATTAGCTGGGCGTTTGGCATGCCCTGTAGTCCCAACTACTTGGGAGGTTGAGGCGGAAGAATCGCTCGAACCCGGGAGGCGGAGGTTACAGTTAGCGGAGACTGCGCCACTGGGCTCCAGCCTGGTAAGACTCCCTCTCAAAAAAAAAAAAAGATCTAAAATGATTGTGTCCCTGCTGCCACCTGCTGGATTATTCGTCTTCCTTTGGGCACTGAAGGTAGACAAAATCTTGCCGTTTGTAATTCCACAGCAGAATTTTGTAGTGTTGAAGTATTTTATAATTGCCTATACCTATACCCTACACTCAACTAAACAGGACAGGAACTAGTGAGGGGCACACTGTCTATCACAGGATTTGGCTCATAGGTATTCAATAAATAAATATTTGTTGAATAAATTATCCTTGTTTCCCGAAAAGGCATAGGGTTGCTACCATTTCCTGAGTTACTTTAGAAATCAGCTGGTGTTGATGTAAAGCTGTTTCTGATTTTAAAATTGGTAACAGACTAATAAATCCCAGAATGACCAACACAGTCAGACAGGAATTTTCTCCCTGTGAACTAATCTGTGAATTTAATTTAATTTAATTATTTATTTCTGGCCGGGCACGGTGGCTCACGCCTATAATCCCAGCACTTTGGGAGGCCGAGGCAGGTGGATCACGAGGTCAAGAGATCGAGACCATCCTGATCAACATGGTGAAACCCCACCTCTACTAGAAATACAAAAATTAGCTGGGCATGGTGGTGCGCGCCTGTAGTCCCAGCTACTTGGGAGGCGGAGGCAGGAGAATTGCTTGAACCCAGGAGGCGGAGGTTGCGGTGAGCCGAGATCGTGCCATTGCACTCCAGTCTGGGTAACAACAGCAAACTCCGTCTCAAAAAATATATATATATTTATTTATTTCTGAGACGGAGTATGGCTCTTGTCACTTAGCTGGAGCGCAGTGGCACTTGGCTCACTGCAACCTCCACCTCCCGGGTTCCAGGGCTTCTTCTGCCTTAGGCTCCCGAGTAGCTGAAACTACACATACGCACCACCACACCCGGCTGATTTCTGTATTTTTAGAACTCCCACTATTTTTATTTTTAATTTCACCAGCTCCCACTCAGTGCCTGGGGTGTCCTCTGAGTCACAGAACCACTCTTCCCCAGTAACATTCCTGGCATAGTAGAGCTGTGGTGACGTGGCAGGGTGTGGAAACGGGACAGAGCAGGACATGTTGGCTTGGTGCCCCCAAAGAAACAGAAAAGAGAGTTCACTGATACATACTTCGGGAAAGGGGGTGCAATCTGGTGACCTCAAAGTAGGGCCACAGGTACAGACTTCAGTACATGTGAATGCACACCCACACCTTGATTAAAGTGTCCCTCATAACTTATAACACTTTTTTGTGTGTGTGACAGGCTTGCTCTGTCCCCCAGGCTGGAGTGCAATGGTGCGGTCTTGGCTCACTGCAACCTCCACCTTCCCAGTTCAAGTGATTCTCCTGCCTCAGCCTCCCGAGTAGCTGGGACTATAGGTGCCTGCCACCATGCCCAGCTAATTTTTGTATTTTTAGTAGAGACAGGGTTTCACCATGCTGGCCAGGCTGGTTTAGAACTCCTGACCTCACCATCTGCCTGCCTCTGCCTCCCAAAGTGCTGGGATTACAGGCTTGAGCCACCACGCCCAGCTGCTTAGAACACTTTCTAAGATTAGAACGAAGGGGTGGGACTGGCAAGAGGAAGGAAAGGGTTCTATATTCAATTAATCATTCATTAATTAATTCACTCGATTAACATTATTTAGCCTAGCCAGGCGAGATGGCTCAGGCCTGTAATCCCAGCACTTTGGAAGGCCAAGTTTGGTGAATCACAAGGTCAAGAGATCGAGACATTCCTGGCCAACATGGTGAACCCACCCGCCCCACCCCAGTCTCTACTAAAATACAAAAATTAGCTGGACCTGAGGGTGTGTGCCTGTAATCCCAGTTCCTCGGGAGGCTGAAGCAAGAGAAGTGCTTGAACCTGGAAGGTGGAGGTTGCAGTGAGCTCAGTTCCTGTCACCGCACTCCAGCCTGGAAACAGAGCAAGATTCCATCTCAAAAACAAAACAAAACGAAACAAAACATTATTTAGCCCAAGCTACGTCCCAGGCACTACTAGAGTTTCTGGTATACACAGATGAAGATTAAGCTCCTTGTCCGGCACGATGGCTCACTCCTATAATCCAAACACTTTGGGAGGCTGAGGCAGGCAGATTGCTTGAGCCCAGGAGTTCAAGACCAGCCTGGGCAACATAGCAAAAATCCTATCTCTACAAAAATTAGCTGAGCATGGTGTTCCACACCTGTAGTCACAGCTACTCAGGAAACTGAGGTGGGAGGATCACTTGAGCCCTGAAGATCAAGGCTGCAGGGAGCTAAAATTGCACCACTGCTCTCCAGCCTGGGCGACAGAGCAAAACTATGTCTCTAAAAAAATTTTTTTTAATTTAAAAAAGGAAAAGATTATGACTGGGCGCGGTGACTCACGCTTGTAATCTCAGTACTTTGAGAGGCCAAGGCGGGCAGATCACAAGGTCAAGAGATCAAGACCATCCTGGCCAACATGGTGAAATGCCGTCTCTACTAAAATACAAAAATTAGCTGGGCATGGTGGTACACGCCTGTAGTCCCAGCTACTTTGGGAGGCTGAGGCAGGAGAATTGCTTGAACCCGGGAGGCGGAGGTTGCAGCGAGCCAAGATTGCGCCACTGCACTTCAGCCTGGCACCTGGTGACAGAGCAAGACTCTGTCTCAAAAAAAAAAGGAAAAGATTAGTCTGTGATCCCCTCAAAAAGATCACAGACTAATGAGGAGAACAGACATGTAAATCATTAGAATACAATGTAGGCCTAGAGCAGTGGCTCACACCAATAATCCGAGCACTTTGGGAGGCCGGGTGGGTAGATCCCGAAGTCAGGAGTTCAAGACCAGCCTAGCCAAGATGGTGAAAGCTCATCTCTACTAAAAATACAAAAATTAGTTGGGTGTGGTGGTGGGCACCTGTAATCCCAGCTACTCAGGAGGCTGAGGCAGAGAATTGCTGGAACCGGGGAGGTGGAGGTTGGAGTGAGTTGAGATGGTGCCACTGCACTCCAGCGTGGGCAACAGAGCAAGACTCCATCTCAAAAAAAAAAAAAAAAAGAATACAATGTAATAGGTACCATCATAGAGTTTGTATAAGTGCTATGGTTTGATCACCATATTTTCGGAATTAAAAATGGGAACAGAGTCTTGATAATACAACAGACAATATTTGAGATTGAAACTATTCCAGAGACTATAGAAAGCATCTTCTCCACAGTTAAGGGAATTGTGCCTGGAAAGAGAGGAAAGAGAAGACTCTACTATCCCACAAAATTAGACGAGAAAGGAAAGG